ATTCACCGAAGCGTCTTCCCGCGCGATTCACTCACTCGAAGTAGAAATCGAAACGAAGGCAAGAGACGCGAATTCCGAGGTTATCGTCCCTCACTGCGACACGCGGGACAACGACTCTACTAAGATTCGGATATATAGATTCGAAACACTTATTTCTCAAGTAAAATTCACTCACCGATCGCCGGAGCACTGTAGGTGATTTCACTTCACAGGTGACTTCCGAAGACTAAAGACTCTGGGAGAAAACCTGCTTTTTTATTTGATGACCACTTTCTAATTCCGTGGGAAAATGAACGTAACGTATATGATTAACATAACGTAAAGGAAAGCCGAATGCGTACCGCCTAAAAATTTAACAGATTACACCTTGTTTTGTGCGTGCTAACAACATTTAAAAAGTTTAGGTACAACTGATATAAATTTGTTATCAATTTACAATATATAGCTGATAATAATGTGATCATACAATTTTATTATAAATTTTTATATTTTTATAAAGATAGGTTTATTGTAAAATATTTTACGTCCTTTGCATATACATATTTGCAATTATCATAATAATTAAATCGATATTTTTATAAAATCTATCAAGTTTCCTAAATTAGTCCAACCGGACTAATTTCACACGGGTATGTCTTTCAACACAAAAAAAAAAAAAAAATTTCAACACAATTTTCTTACTGGTTTAAAAGTTATTGTAATTAAGAATGTACTGGAAGTATTTCAAATTAATTCAGAAAGTGCTGTAAATTGTTTCTAAATTAAATTAAAAATACTCTGCAAAATTTTGAAGTTATTGAAAAATTATTTAAGTTTAAAGTTGATAAAATTAATATTATCCCTTACAGAGAATCGACATTTTTGCTGTAAATATAAATAAAATATAAATAAACCATTAAGATATTTTTTAAACTTTTTTTATGTGTAAAACATACATCATTAATATTGTATTTTAAGTTTCAAAAGTTTTTATAACAAAACAATTTTTTTACTTGTTCAAACAATACTAATTATTTAAATAACAAAAAATCATACTCAAACTGTTAACGGTAATCCCTTCTAACATATAAAAAATTTTGAGTTGTTTAACATACATGCAAAGTCTTCTTTTATTGAAAGTTTAACTTTTAGCAAGGA